GGAAATCACCACAAGACGTACTTCGAAAACCATTAATCACTTCCCAAAGATCTAAGGACTCCCACATTAAATGAGCAATGGAGCAGACAATGAAGATATGAAGGGCGGTCTCAAAGGCAGCAGAGCAAATGCGACAACTAGGGGCACAAAGATCCCCCTGCGAGAAAAACCAGCTGAGGTGGGGAGAGCATCATAGAACAGACGCCAAAGGAACACTATAATCTTCGGTGGGATCTCCGCATGCCAGATCAAGGACCACCACTTCGTTACCCTAGAATCCGAGGTGGAAGCAGTATCAGGCATAGTGTGACGAAGAAGTCAGTATCAACTCTTGACTGTGTAGCACCCCTTCTTCTCATAATACCAAATGAGTTTGTCAGGGACAAGAGAAGTTGGTAGTGGGATAAATGAAATGTCCTCCCGATCTACCTGCCAAAAGGAGGTAGCAATCAGCTCATTCCAAGTATTCAAAACAGAGATCAGCTCAGGCGCCACCCTTCTGGAAGGGTCGACCGGAGAAGTGATTGACCTGAAAGAAAAGGGCCTTGGGATCCATGGGTCAGCACGGATAGAGACACTATGACTATCACCTATCCTCCATCTCAGACATCGAGCCAGAAACTCTCTCCCCCTGATAATGCTCCGCCATAAATAAGAGCAGCCAGGGCCGACACCAGCTGAAAGGAAGTCCGAGTCCCTGAAATACTTCCCCTTCAAAAGCCTACTAGCGAGAGAAGAAGGGTCCTGAATGATTTTCCATGCTGCTTAGCCACCAATGCCTGATTAAACATCTGTAGATTTCTAAAGCCTAGACCACCCTCTGACTTTACGTGACACATCTTCTGCCACCTAACCTAGTGAATCTCTCTCTCTCACCATAAGTTGATCCCCACCAAAATCTCATAATGATAGACTCAATCTCCCTGCACAAAAAAATTGGAATGCGAAAGATACTCATCATGTAGCATGGGATCGCCCTGCGAGCACCCTTTGGTCGTGGAATTACCAAAAGGTGGGTTGAGAAGAGGACGACCAAAACACAAGAACAATTCAGTTTGGCGAAGGAAAATACATTCTCTAGATTATGAAGAACAAAAGATTACAATCTCCCCCTCACAATCTCACTCTAGAATTGAGGAACAAGCTCTCCAAATCTTAATTTAGAATCTAATCTCTCTTGATTAAACTCTCTGATCTAAAAGATGTTTAGAAACCCTAAAACAATCCCTTATATAGGTGTACAAACGTGGATGGCAATCTGGTAAATAACCAGACCCAAAACCAACAAGAATTCGTGTTAACAGAAATCCAAACGAACCTGTAAACCATCGATGAGTCGACTCATGACTGAGATGAGTCGACTCGTCAGAAACTGGACAAACTCAAAATCCAGCGATGAGTCGACTCATGACAGTCATGAGTCGACTCAACCTAATGAGTCAACTCATGACTGTTATGAGTCGACTCACAGGCTGAAAACTGGATACTTCGATTCTTCTGCTTGTCGTCTCGTTCCACGCTTCTTCCTGCGTTCTCTTGTACTATTTGACACCTCTATTCTTATGTTATCATGAGAATCATCTATCCTCAAGCTCCCATGAGGATTGTACTATTTGACACCTCTATTCTTATGTTATCATGAGAATCATCTATCCTCAAGCTCCCATGAGGATCGTTAAGTTCCGAAGAGAAGATACACCTGAGAATCATCTATCCTCAAGCTCCCATGAGGATCGTTAAGTTCCGAAGAGAAGATACACCCGTATCAAAAACAGCTTTCACCATAACCTCTTGCCCCTCAGCTGAGAAAAGAGCCCTCCTCCAAGCTTGGACTCTTTTCCAACCTGAGTCTCTGATTGAAGCAAAAGTCTGACGACGGCTTCTTCCAGCCACCGAAGGGAAGCCTAAGTACCGATCATGTGTTTGGGCCCTATCTAGCCCCAAAAAAGAGTAAATAAAGGCCCTAGTACTGCATATGTTGTTGCATCTGCATATGTTGCCTAAGTACCTTCTCAAAATTTGAATCTGAATATGTTGCTGCATCGTCAAGACTTTGTCATACTCTATGGTTGAGAAATATGCTCAAGATCTTAACAAGACAATACGACAAAGATCTATGGTGACAGCTGCACTTTAAAAAAATTCCAGTCTTTCATGAAATAAACAAGCACATAGGCACTCATTATCATTTTCATTTGAGGTGATGTAAGGTAAGGAACAAAGAAGTCTAGCTCATGATTTATTTGAAATCACAAAATCAAGTTGTCGATATATTTACGAAACCGCTAGAGTTTGAAGTGTTCTCTTTACTGCAAAGCAAAACTCAGGAAAATTGATGAATCAAGATGAAACGTGAATATAGCAATTAAAAAATGATAATTAGCGACGTGGGAGTCTGAAAAGTCAGTTGATAATCCCAGGAAATCTACAATAATCGAGTTTGCTAGCTAGGGACTAATAGGAAGTCTAACTGTTTATATGTTGTAAATGCGGATGTTTCGTTGTTTGTTTTTAAGAGCCAATAAAATCTAAATCAATGGGATACATGTTCCTCCTCCAATTACATTCCACCCTGAACTATAATTATCGTCAGCTACAAAACCATGACCAATTTTAGGGATCAGCTGGTGGCAATGCGAAACACATTCATGATTCATCTTCATATGCGTACATATGAGTATGCATACGTATTAGTTCATCAGCAAAGAATCTCCTACTTTCTTAAAAGGGGAATGCCATGGTCCAAGAGTGCAGTTTCTATCAGAACACGCCCATATTTAAAAATTTTAACTCTATTTCTATCTATGGTTCAAAACACCTCATTCTCATAGGGACGGTTGTGACAGGATATCCTTATCAATCATCCAATATACCTCCATTATTTCTATAGAAATCTCAATAATCACAAATCCATCCAATCCCCATCGATTAATCACCTCTTATTCTTTGGAAAATTAGTTAGAACCAACGACAGAAACAAAAAGTGATGGTCTGTACATCTCCTACGATCACTCCCAACCTCTCTCTCCAATGCAATCCCATACATTATATAAATATCACCAATTCTCTCTTTCCACATTCAGGCAGCCGAAAATGGCAACTTATACGAGCTCTCAAGCCCTTTGGGGGCTCGTAATAACGTTGCTTATGACATCTGTCTCCTCACAAGTCCCCACCCCTCCCAAACGAAGCCACGGAAAATTCACTCCCGGCCCCTGGATCTCCTCCCACGCCACCTTTTACGGCGGTGCCGATGGGTCCGAGACAACCGGTGGCTCATGCGGATACCAAGACACGGAGGCTCAAGGCTACGGCCTTCAGACCGCAGCCCTGAGCTCTGTTCTCTATAAGAGCCTGCATGAGATTAAGTGTGGATGGCACGCCCGCAAGCGTGGCAAGCCAAGTACAGGCAGTCGATTGTGCGTCACTCCACAAACTGGTGCCCCCCGAAGCTATCGGCAGGCCAGCTGACACGGCGGGTGGTGCAATCCTCCAAGGGAGCATTTCGATCTCAGCATGCCTGCTTTTCTTCAGATTGGGGAATACAAAGCAGGCATTATACCTGTGAGTTACCGAAGAGTCCCATGCATGAAGCAAGGGGGGATTAAGTTCACTATCAACGGGCACAAGTATTTTAACCAGGTGACGGTGTGGAACGTCGCGGGGTCTGGAGATGTGCATGCTGTGTTTGTGAAAGGAAGCAGTGGGAAGTGGACCCCGTTGCAACGGAATTGGGGACAGCGGTGGTCAACAGGCGAAGATTTGACTGGGCAATCTCTGTCGTTTAGGGTTAAGACGGGCGATAAGCGCAAGTGCACTTCTCTTAACGTTACTTCTCCGTATTGGCAGTTTGGGCAGACGTACGAGGGAAACAAGAACTTTAGGTGATGATACTGTGGAGGATGATGAGACTTGAGGCAATGAGCATGCTGCCGTTTATAACTTGTAATTGTATTTGATGGTTCTTATGAAAAGTTCTATATGATTAGAACTCCGTGACATCACTAGTAGAAAAATGAGCACTGGCGACGGGGAAATCCGTCGCCAATGCAGCAAAATCCGTCACCAATACACTTTCGCGACGGGGCGGAGTCCGTCACCAATAATCCTGTCGTCAATAAATATTGGCGACGGGGAAATCCGTCGCCAATGTTCATTGGCGACGAAAAACATTGGCAACGGGCTATAGCCCGTCGCCAATGTACATTGGCGACGAGCTCATACATTGGCGACGGGTTATTGCCCGTCGCCAATGTACATTGGCGACGGATGTATTCCCGTCGCCAATGTACATTGGCGACGAGCTCATACCCATCGCCAATGTACATTAGTGACATGCAATAACCTGTCGCCAATATTTTTTATCGCCAATACCTATCCGTCGTCAATGATCATTGGCGACGGAATTCCCCGTCGCCAATGTTTATTGGCGACAGGATTATTGGTGACGGGCTCTGCCCCGTCGTGAAAGTATATTGGTGACGGATTTGTCCCCGTCGCCAATGTATATTGGCGACAGGTTTGTCCCCGTCGCCAATGTACATTGGCGACGAAAAATGCTCATCGCCAATGTACATTGGCGACAGGTGTATTCCCGTCGCCAATGTAAATTGGCGATGAAAAATGCCCGTCGCCAATGTACATAATCAGGTAAAAAAAATATTTCTGCATTGTAAAGCGCCCCAATCGGTAATGAGTACCTGTTACTACCATTATTCACAATATATTAAACAATACTCACAATATCATATTTATTGATTCACATCCAACAATATTCACGTTCACCGATTCACATCCAACAATATTCACATTCACATCCAACAATACTAACATTTACATTCATCGATTCACATCCAACAATATTAATATTTAACAATTCACATATATACATAATCAGGAGGTCATAATATGTTCAACACAATCCAAAAGTCCACATAATCAAGAGGTCATAATATGTTTAACACAATCCAAATGTCCACAAAAGTTACCAAAAAGTCCAACTCATCACTCACTCATCATAGTCGTGGTCCCTATCGTCGTGATCCCTATCATCGGTGGCGGCTGCATCATGATGTCGTACCGTACTGCTGCTTCCTACGGCGGTACCTCCTCTAACCTAAAAAGAATGTAAATCAATATCAGAATATATTCCAAAATACTCATAATAAATACATATTTATAATATGACATATATACCTCTCCACCACTTGCAGCTGCATGCTCATCAAATGCCAACACCGTAATATCCGCGTATATAGACTGCGGAAGCAAGTCCTTTACGGGTTGAGAATCGATGAGTCGCTGAACGACATCCCGAGTTGTTTGTGCACCACTTAACTCGTGCTTAATAGTGGGAAGAAAACTTAAAGCCAATGGAATTTCAACATTCTTCATCAAGTATTTTCCATTCTTACCCATGACATATGGCGTGTCACCGTGTCGCGTCGATGTCACCGATTGGCTGCTAGGCTTATTGGTGGTGGTGAGTGTCTTAACTCTAGTACTTGACAGAGGCACTCTTCCTTTCTTTCTTGAGTGTAAACCGTAAGCTCCATCGACAACTTCCATCCACTCGTCTCTGGTTTCGAGACTGCGTGACACGGGTGAAGACATCGTTTTGAGAAGCTTCCAGCGCCGCCTGCATATCATATATCATAAAAATTAGAAACTTTGATAAAAAATCATTAAGTATATACAAATCTAAAATTAATCTTATACTTACGTTCAATTCATTAATTTTCTCCACCTTTTTGTCATTTCCCTCTACATTTTCATACCCCCGGGGTGGTGTATAAGCTCTTTTAGCCAAAAGAGTCGGGGGTATAGTCAAAGCGTCCTGTGATATATTAAATTCTAAATTAAATGTAGGAAACTAATCACATGAAATCAGTTTTAATAATATGATCATACCGGGTTTTCGCTCAAATACTTATGCTCGATCTGAGCATAAGAAGTAGCTCCTAAAAAGTGATCGTATAGCTTTGATCTATGATTCGCCGATACCGTTTCACATATTTTCTACAAAATAAAGTATTTTTTAGTATGTGCGATGATAATATATAAATGAAAAATAACGTGATGATAATGTCATAAATTAAAAATAATCTACCTTCTTCTCACCCTCCCACTCGATAATGAGAGTCATCCAATTAAATGGAGGAACTCTCTTATCAAGCTCATAGATCCTCTTCCAATCAGTAGATAAATTTGTGAAATATCTTTTCTTTAGATCACTCTTCCAAACTCGAATAAGCTTGGCCATTTTTGGGATAACATAATCCCAAGACTCTGGGTTGTCTTCAAGACAATAATGATCCTGCAAGTTACATGGCAAAAAAATTACACTATAAGAATAATCATTGTGAATTGTAAACAAAATAAGCAGCAGTATATTAAATAATTACCATGAGCTTCTCCCAAATCTTTTTTATGCATTTAAATTCTTTCTCCTCAAAATTATGAGCAATATTAATGGAGCGTGGATCTCTTATTAAACAGCCAATCAAGTTATTAAATATGACAGCCCAATGCCCAACAGGAATGTTGTCCTTCCACATTACCGGGTGAATGTTTGCCTGGTATCAATAATGAAAGAATCATATATGATTGCTTCATACAAAGTCTAGGTGATAAATTATAGGGCATAAACACAACAGGCCAAGTAGACCATCCCGAACTCATAATGCCAAACGGGTTGAATCTGTCGCTAGATAGCCTAAGTCTGACATTCCTGCACTCTGTGGAAAATGAGGGAAAAGTCTGATCCACATGCTTCCATGCCTTTGCATCTGTTGGATGTCTCACTTTACCATCATCTACACGTCTTTCCTTATGCCACCGCATATCTTTTGCTATATTTTTTGTCATATACAGACGTTGTAACCGAGGCACTAAGGGAAAATGTCGAAGCACCTTCGCTGGAATTTTCTTCTGTTGATTCACTGACTCATCTGACTTTCGTGTTGCAGTGCGTGCATTCTTTCTCCATCGAGACACTCCACACTTTGGACATTCCTCAAGTTTCTCATTATCCTTATAATAAAGGACACAATCATTGGGACAAGCATCGATCTTATTGTAATCTAAACCCATAGCACCAACAATCTTATTTGCATCATAACACTTTTCTGGTATGCTATTCTCTCCGTCTGGAATTACCTTGCGTAGTAAATTAAGAAGCATTTGAAAATATTTATCTGCCATTCCGCTCAGGGTCTTAATACGCATCAGTTCAAGAATAAATGACAACCTACTATACTCAGTGCAACCATCGTACAGATCCTTCTCGTTGTCTTCCAATATCTTCACTAAATTTCTGTAGGCCCCGCTATCACGCACGTCCTCGGTATTTTGGACATCATCTGCATCTCCAGGAACTTCAACAGCATCTGGTACTTCTGGAACTTCATCAACTTCTGCAACTGTCGTAACATCGTTGAACATTGCGTGTGTATTGTCTATAATTCTATCATCTAATTCAATATCTTCTCCTTCTCCGTGAAAACTCCAATATTTATAATTTTCATCAAATCCCCATCTTTCTAGGTGTCTTCGTATAGCAACTCTATCCACCAGACCTCTATTCCTACACTTACTACATGGACAACACAACAAATCGTTCTCTATCTTCCTCGGATTAGCATATGCATATTCAAGGAATGCTTCCCATCCGTCTCGATATCGAGTATCACCTTTTGCTCTTCTTTTCAATATAGGAATATCAATCCATGACTTATCAGGAACTTCTCTCATCTGTATAATAGGAAAACTTATTAATTAATTTAATATCTCTTAAATCGTCATAAGTTTAAAAGTCTTTATTTTAGTTGATTGAACAAATAATCAAACGAATTAAATTACTCTTCTATAATGGCCATTGTTGTACCAAATAAAAGCTAACACTCTATGATAAGTAATCCTAATTTAAAATTGTTCTATAATAATGGAATATATTAGAGCCATTAAAAAAACTGCATTATAAAAGAAAAAAATGTATTAGAATCAACTATAAAATTATATATAACAGTGGAATGTCAGAATTATTTTTGTACAGAAGCAAAACATGTTAAAATCATTTAGAATTATCAACGTCAAAGTCATTTGTTGATCATGATGAACAAATGCGAGAATGTATGAACATTTATCAATGCCAGAAACTTTATGCACTAGAATTTTCCTCGAATTAATAGAGCTGACTTGCTTTATGACGAAACGTAAATTTCTCCTTTTTTTTTCTGAAGGTCGTCTTTCCATCTTCAATGTAGAAATGAAAGCTATAACTATGGTTATGGCTCAACTAATTTCATGATTTCCAAATGAACCAGCTTTCAAAATTCAATATAAAACTCATTTGTGCAAGTCATGGACCTATAAGCTCTCTACTTTCATGGAGTTGGTAAAGCCCTGACAAATAATAGTGTGAAAGTGAAGCAAAGACGTGAAAAATCTCAGGAGACCAAATGATCTTATTTAAAAAGTAGCATACTGTTCGGTTCTCAGGAGACGGAGGATCTAGGGGGACGTCGGGCGGGTCCAAGGCGGGGAGACGGAGGATCGAGGGCGGCGAGACGTCGGGCGGGTCCAGGCATCCCTCAAATCATCACAATATTTACTATTAGGTCCCCTGGTTAACACCGGTTATATTTAAAGAAATATTCTTTTAAATCTAACTATTATTACTAGTTTTCCTTGACTTTTAATTATAAAAGGTTAACCCGTTTGGACCTAGTTGATAAGTTCTGGTATGATAAGTTAACCCGTTTCAAAATTAGTCCGATTGGCTATCTTCAATATTTTAAAATTACTCATTCAAATCATGGAAATTTCTATTACATCCCTCAAATCATCACAATATTTACTATTAGGTCCCATAGTTAACACCGGTTATATTTAAAGAAATATTCTTTTAAATCTAACTATTATTACTAGTTTTCCTTGACTTTTAATTATAAAAAGTTAACCCGTTTGGACCTAGTTGATAAGTTCTGGTATGATAAGTTAACTCGTTTCAAAATTAGTCCGATTAGTTATCTTCAATATTTTAAAATTACTCACTCAAATCATGGAAATTTCTATTACATCCATCAAATCATCATAATATTTACTATTAGGTCCCCTGGTTAACACCGGTTATATTTAAAGAAATATTCTTTTAAATCTAACTATTATTACTAGTTTTCCTTGACTTTTAATTATAAAAAGTTAACCCGTTTGGATCTAGTTGATAAGTTCTGGTATGATAAGTTAACCCGTTTCAAAATTAGTCAGATTGGCTATCTTCAATATTTCAAAACTACTCACTCAAATCATGGAAATTTCTATTACATCCCTCAAATCATGGAAATTTCTATTACATCCCTCAAATCATCACAATATTTACTATTAGGTCCCCTGGTTAACACCGGTTATATTTAAAGAAATATTCTTTTAAATCTAACTATTATTACTAGTTTCCCTTGACTTTTAATTATAAAAAGTTAACCCGTTTGGACCTAGTTGATAAGTTCTGGTATGATAAGTTAACCCGTTTCAAAATTAGTCCGATTGGCTATCTTCAATATTTCAAAATTACTCACTCAAATCATGAAAATTTCTATTACATCCCTCAAATCATCACAATATTTACTATTAGGTCCCCTGGTTAACACCGGTTATATTTAAAGAAATATTCTTTTAAATCTAACTATTATTACTAGTTTTCCATGACTTTTAATTATAAAAAGTTAACCCGTTTGGACCTAGTTGATAAGTTCTGGTATGATAAGTTAACCCGTTTCAAAATTAGTCCGATTGGCTATCTTCAATATTTCAAAATTACTCACTCAAATCATGAAAATTTCTATTACATCCCTCAAATCATCACAATATTTACTATTAGGTCCCCTGGTTAACACCGGTTATATTTAAAGAAATATTCTTTTAAATCTAACTATTATTACTAGTTTTCCTTGACTTTTAATTTATGTATAACAAACCATATTGTTAATTATTACAGCATTAGTATCGGGGTAGAATACCTAGGAATAACTTTTCTCAGACAATAGCAATATATGCGTCTTAAACAATAATAGTAGATGTGTTTCATGAGCCTAGAGGTAGGGGTGGAAGTGAACCAAATAATCAATAAACTGTTTAGTTATTATTCATCTAGCTATTCGATCAAATTTGATTCGCTATCTCATTTAACAATAAATGAATAGCTATTAGTTATTAAACTCATAAACAAATAGAAATTAACCAAATATGTATTCGATTTTCTTGGTCATTAAGTCTTCGTTCAATTTGAGACATTAGCTTAAATGGCAAAGACAATTTAGAGGGGGAAATTAGTAAAATGATGCTTTGGGGGGGTATTTACAAATATATACAATGCTTGGGTATATATGTAAAAATTTCACAAAAAAAAAAGAAAGTAGTGGTGATCCAAGAGTTCGAACACAGGACCTGTTATATCATATTCGCTCGAACTCAATTTTGACCGCTCTTTCTCCTCTTAACCTTATAAAAAAACTCCAAGAGAACTCTATCCAAACTATTTTCATCCGGTTTTTAGTGATTAAATCTAATTTATCTCCTCTCAGATTCATTAATGATGTTTACAGGGTCAAGTCCATCCGTAAATGAAGCCCAGAGTAGTGGAGTTCATCGAATCTACTAGCATAAGAATAAAAATAAATAAATTTAAAAACTAACATAGAATTCCTAATTAATTAAAAATATTTTAACATAAGAATCTGATAATATATGTATCTTTCCATCGCAAATGTTTGTATTGGCGATGGATTTCAAATCTGTCGCCAATACCTCGTCGTCAATGCTCAGTTTTCTACCTGTTAATGGTTATCTTTAGATTGGTTTTCTTGAAAGTATAAAAATATGACTAGAAAACCACCCTCTTATATTGCTCATTAATTCCACTAATTTTTAAACAAGCAAAAGGTATTTCCACTAATTCCATTCATTTATTAACGAGAAAACTACTAGATTCGTTCTACAAGCAAATTCAAATTCAGAAAGTGGGACATGCCTCTAGCGACAAAGTTACGGCTACAGCCTCCTCGACGATGACGCTAGAGGGGAGCATGGGGCCCTTGAGTAGGCCACCAAATAACTGTCCTGGATCATAGTAGACTTTCACGTCCTCAGCTCTCAAGCTATCATCTTACCTACGTGGAACAAAATAGTATTGGAATACATTTAAAATATTATAGATTTGAGGGACTAATATTAAAATAAT